TTGTAGTTAAAGTGATTAACTACCCGCCTGGCACTTAGTTAAGGAGTTTCACCCCCTCCCTAACTTCAGGGGAAAATCTCTACCTGGGGAAACAACCTTTCTCAGAGAGGTGACCTTGGTTAAAACACATAGTGCCAAGAAGGTGAGCAAACATATTAAGAACAGTATGCCATATATGCCAGGTCCCTTGAAACAGCAAGGATGGACCGGCTCCCGGCAGTCACCCTCTGTTGTAACTACTGCTGTAACTTGGGATCCTGGGCATGACTTGGGTGGGGACGTAGAAACTGACATGCTTGTGCCCAGCACAGGTTGGCACTTGTGGTCCTCGTGAAGTCACTGCTCTCGTAGCTCTGCTGGTGCAAAGATACCAGAAGCCGGATGGTTTCATGCCCCCTGTCCAGTCATTGCAATCAAATAGAAACGGGTGGCTCAGAAAGGAGATGTGCCCATGGCCACAGGCTGCTGCTGACCCCAGAGCCGCCAGAGCCAGGAGACTCCGGAGCTGTGTCTGCTGCCCGAGCCCACGCCGCCCGAGCTGGCATCTGTGGCTGCCGCGGGGCCAGGCAGGGCGACCAGCAGACTCTTGTCTGCCCCCCGAGCATGTTCCTGCTACCGGGCCGGTGCCGTTGTCCCACACCCATTACACTGCTCCCCTGTCTCTGTTGGTCTGAATCTCTCTCTCCTTGAGGTTCTGATGCCAACCCCACAGGAGTTCACCATCCTCAGGCCCCAGGGAGCTTCCTCTCTCCTTCCTCACAGGCTGAGCTGCGGGCTGTGTCTCCTTGGTAGATCAAAGGGGGCCCTGCTTATCCTGCTCTTTGTCCTCCCCCACCAGTGCTTGGTGCCCAGGCTTGCAAATGGGGGGGGAGGCAGGAGGGAGGGGCAGTCCTGGAGGAGTGAGCAGAGCCCAGGTTGGGGCAGGGACTTTAGAACCAGGGTATTGAGTGGGGGCAGGGCTTGCCATCCGATGTCAGACACTGACCCAGGAGGGAGCCGGGCAGGGGGGCGGCACACAGCTGGCACCCAATGAGGCCACAGTGAGGGCGTGCTCTTTGGTGCTCTGGGCTGGGACAGGGGCTCGAGTGCTGGCTCACTTGATGCCCCAGTGGCGTGCGGTTTATTTTGCAAGTTTTCTGGTTTAAAGTTATGGATGCAATGCCCTGCCATTAAAGAGAGCACGGGCAGGAGGAGATGAGAAAGCCATCATCGCAGCACCCGCCTCTCAGGGATTCTCTGGCCTTTCCTGTGGCTCTTCACCTCGCTGTAATCCTGGTGAGCGGACACGGCTGAGCCCTGCTTTTGCACGTAGTCCTGTCTCAGGAGCGTTTAGATCGCATGCCATCTCGGTTGTGTGGCCTCATGACTTCATAGCTGGAAAGTGGATGCAGTGACGCTTCCTGCACACGGGTGCCGTGAGAGCAGCGTGAACCCTGCATACAGTGCGCGCCAGGATGCTTGGCCCAGAGAACATGCTCACAGAACGGTCCCTCCTCTTCCAGCGCGCCCCACGCATCCATTACCGGAGCCTTTTTTTCCTCTGGTAGAGGAATTCTCTGTTCACGGCATGGAATTTTAGCAACTTACAGAAAAGCAGGGAAACCACGTCTAGGCCTCTTCTAACATGCCACACGTTTACCATTTTGGTCTTTCATGCCTGCTGTTATTTACTGGGTGTTGTGAAATACATACAATCGTGTGTCATTTCCCCGTGGCTGTTATGACGCGCACTTCCCTACCAGTATGTTCATGTATCTGTGAGTAGTTTTAAAGGCTGCATATGTTTTCAGCAAATGGAGCCATTTCATTCACTCACCGATTTGTCTCTTAGGTTGTTGGCAATAGTTCACGAGTGCGGAGAAGTGGCCTTCGAGCGTGTTGGGCCTGAAGCCATGTCTGCGGTTCACATAGGGGCCTGGGTGCCATCACTGGGCAGAGGCGTGACCCGTCCGGCTCGTGGTATTTTGCAGCCTTTACTCGCTGCCACCTGCCGAGCCCGGTGTGTGCAGGAGGGCGGTGAGCAGAACGGCTTGGCCCTTGTCCCCGGAGCTTGAGGTCAAGCAGGAGAGAAGGGCAGGGGAATTGTGGGGTGAGGGGAGTGCTGGACCAGGGGTCCGTAGCCAGCCTGGGGGTGAAGAGTCTGACTCTCGACACGCGGGAGGCAATAGAAAGCAGGGCGGGTGCAGGGCCAAGACTTGGGCAGTTGGTTGGGGTATAGTGAGCGGGGCCTGTGACAGGCCGCACAGCGTCGGGCGCCTGCAAGGCGCTCTGAGGGCTTTGACTCTGTGCCCAAGGCTCTGTGGGAGCCACCGAAGGGCTTTACACAGGAGCAGCCACGGTTGGGTTTCTGTTCGGGAGAGAAAGCTGGGTGAGAGGGGCAGGCACTGGGGTGGCTGCATGACTCCCCGAGAGACTTCCGGGGTCTCTTGTTCAGCCGCCCCGCCCCGCCTCGCGCTTGGAGGCCGAGGGGTCCACCGGGAGAGCTGTGGCGTTTGAATGATTGTCCTGAGTGGGGAGCAGGATGCCTCCCACGCCTGCTCCAGGGTGCTCCCTGCTCTCGGGCTCCTTCTCCCCGGGCTCTCGGCCGAAAGAACCGCTTTGTCCAGTTGTTCAAAGCCGGCCATCAGCCGCAGACGGCCTGCTGACACTCACAGGCTGTTTCTTTCCCACACTCCTGCGTCACAAAAGTGTTGTTGGTAAATGTAGCTCAGAAATGTTCAGAACGAGGGCCCACATGCAAGGTGTATCTCTCTGCTGCTGGCCTGATGCCCAGGGGTGTGGGTGTGTGGCTGACAGGGGCGTCCCTCGTGCTGACGGGTGGCTCCAGAAGGCCAGTGCCGCCTCCAGCCTGGCCCGCGGCCCGCCCTCACCTGGGAGCCTCTCCCTTCGCTCCTGGCAAGTGGCTGAGTCACCCGGGGCCCCTGGAGCCAGCGCTGGGCAGGGTCTGACCCAGGCTTTAGGATATGAACCAAGTGGATTTGGCCAGAAGACTTAGGGTTCTGTCTCTTTTTTTACCGACAACCTGGGTCCTCTGGGGAAGTGTCTCGCTGACTTTGTGATGTGATTCATTCCCTTTCCCAATCAGCCAGTCCGGCCAACTATTGAAGAGCATACAGTATTGTTCTGGTCTGGGCTTGGCTTAGGGAAACACAGATGAAAACAAAAACGAGTTCTCGGCTGTCAGGGGCTCTCGCCAGGCAGGAGACAGGACGGCCCATGGAGCAGCACCAACGGCCTCTGGAGCAGACGTGGGCTGCATCCCTATTCTGCCATCCCTGCTCGAGCAGCCTGTGGCAAATAATTTTGCCTTTCCTGATCTTTGTTTTCTTATCTGTTGAATGGGCACAAGAACGTCTAGAGAGCATCAGTGGGACTGTGTGTGAGAGCTGCTTGCCTGGCCCGGCATGGTCTCTTGGTCCCTGGAAGGAGGCAGCACTTCTTGGGGCCCCAGGCATGAGCTGCCAGGTGCGGCTGGGTGGGTGCGGCCGGTGCAGCATCACCCTGTGCTGACCCCTGCCTCTCTCACCTCTCTTTCCAGCCTGTGACCTCATGACCCAGGGCATTTTGGCTTTGGTCACATCCACTGGCTGTGCGTCCGCCAACGCCCTGCAGTCCCTCACCGACGCGATGCACATCCCACACCTCTTTGTGCAGCGCAACCCAGGAGGGTCACCACGCACTGCCTGCCACCTGAACCCCAGCCCCGAAGGGGAGGCCTACACACTGGCCTCGAGGCCGCCCGTGCGCCTCAACGACGTCACGCTCAGGCTGGTGACCGAGCTGCGCTGGCAGAAGTTCGTCATGTTCTACGACAGCGAGTACGGTGAGTCCAAGGGGCAGGGGCCGCTCTGGGCTCCGATGGGCACACAGCTGGGAGCGGGAGGCCTGCACGCTGGCCTTGGCATGGCAGGCAGCTGCCTGCCTCCGAGCAGGTGTGGGAGGCGTGGAAGGTGGGGGTGGTCTGAGCCCAGTGGGTCTCGGCGGCAGGCCCAGCCTTGAGCTTCACAAGTGGGGGAAGAGCTGTGCAAACAGATCCATAGACAGGCACTAAAGTTGCCTAGCAACACCACCTTACCATGACAGCTGAAATTCGAATCATCTTCAATAAAATATTAATAACCTGCTGGCAGGGACCCGAAGGGCTGCACGCAGGCGGCGGCGGAGGCCGCCAGCATGGGCCTCCCAGAAGCCTCCTCTCCAAAGATTGCCCCTCACCAGCCCTTCCCAGCTCCTTCCTGCCTCTCTCATTTGCCCTTAGTTCCAGGGTCTTGGGCAAATGTCGGGGAAGGACACCTGAGTGGCACACCGGGCGTGGCGGACATGACCTCTTTGAATATCGGCCGTAAGGAAAGAACCATCATTTGCTTCTTAGAAAACCAGAAAGATGGGTTTGGAGAAGCAGCTCGGGTTTTCTTATGGCTGCCCTGTAAAAACAAAACCCTCGTTCCACGATATGCTGGTTTCTGTGTTACATGTTGTTTTTTTAAATCCCGTTATTTTGAAATGATTGAGATTCGCATACAATTCTGAGAAATAATACGGAGAGACCCAGTGGCCTCAGCAGGTCCCCAGCAGCAGCTGCGCCAGAGCTGTGTGCAGCTCGTAGGCGGGAAGGGACACCCGTGCCCTTGCTCACACCCTCCAGTGCGCATGCGGGCGGCGTGCGCTCACGGCTGTGCGATTTACCTCGCGTGGATTCGTGTGACCCTGTCATCAGGATCAGAGCAGTTTCCTCATGAGAATCCTCATGCTACAGCAACGGCCACCTACGTTCTATGTCTAAGGGTGTGAAAACGGTGAGGCCGGCAGCCTCATAGCTCGGGCCCGTGGGGCCCTCGAGAGTCCTGCCGTCCCTGGCGGGCTCAGTCCTTTGCCAGGAATGGAACTGCGAAGAGGAGTCAGTGTGTGTTTGCATTTGCCCGACACTCTCTGCTCTGAGACTGGGTGTCGTCCTCAGCACTTGAGCAAATATGCTGCCCGAGACTGGGGAAGGAGTGGGGCACGTGGGTACTGAGCTGATGTGAAGGTGAGGCAGTGAGGGGACAGGGCAGCCCAAGACTCCGTGCACTTGAGCTGGACTCTGTCCAGGACTGGCCTCTCCCCTCACCCTCTCAATTTCTGGCCCTGGGAGCAGGGGGAGACCAGGCCACCTCTGAGGAGCCATAGGGCGCTCTAGGGGGGCCAGCCTTCCTCTGAGAACCCTTGTGTTGGTGACTCAGCCTCGTGCCTTCGGGTCTGCTCTGAGGCTGGGTGAGGGCAGGTGTGCACGTGCCCTGGGCTGGAGGGTGCTGTGTCCTCTGTTCCCACCCCACTTCTCCTGGCACCTTTACTCTCCTGCTCTGACCTATAGACACTCTTCACGCCCTGGTTATCGCAGACTGAATGACACCCCATGGCACCTTCTCAAACTCTCTTTTCTTCTTATTATTCCCCTTCCCCCCACTCGGCCCTGGCGGTTCTCAGTGATTCCACACAGGGGAGGGGACCAAGCGCTCCTCTGGCGAGCACCGCAGCCGTGGTGAGCCTTGAATGCTGTGCTGGGAAGAACTCTGAGGCTGCATGTGGGAGTGATAGAAAGCGCTGTGGTTGCTCTGTGATGCCCCCGGTGCTCTGGGGGCTGGGCTGGGGAAGAGGGACTGGCAGCCATCTGCCCTGTTTGCTGATTCTGATCTGCAAGGTGGCTGGCCTGGGAAGCACTGCAGAGCTGCCATATACGTGGGGACGTCGCTGTCCAGGGTGCTGACCCGTTGGCTTCAGACTTTCCGGAGGCCAGAGCCCTTCCCCTGGCTTCGGTGCTGGGCCTCCTGCCTTTGCCTGCCTTGGTCATTGGCCCCCTGATTAGATGACCTTGGAAGTCAAGCTTTTTCCTCAAGATGTTCTCCACACATTTAAGCCTGACTTCTGCTTGTCTTGGCTATGTCTCGCACGCACAACCCAGCCTCTAACCCGCTTTCCAACACCCTTGTGTTGGGGAGCCCAGGAGGGAAACCCCGTGCTCTGAGATGCAGCACATCCAGCCAGGAGTGGAGGGTGAGGGGCTCCCTTGGCAGGGCCGGCATTGGTCTGTCTGAGGGCCTTGGAGGTTTTATGTGGCTGTTATGCCCAAGACAAACGGGGCCTCCAGAGCTCCTCGGGCTTCCAGCACCCCCCACTGCAGCCCTAGCTGCAGATCAGCCCAATTCAAGTCAAATGGCCTTAAAGGCTGTTTTATTCCTTCCAAAGTTAAACAGAAGTGCTGATGTGCAAGTGTCTTTGCATGTATTGTCTTGCTTAAGCCTATAATGATGGCACTCTGAGGTTCTTGCTGCGTTTACAGATGAGGAATGCAAGTCCGAGAGAGGCATTCTGATTGTTATGCCCTTGCGCTTAGTCAGGCTGTTTCTGTCATCTGGGGTGGCTGAGTCCATCTTCCCAGCCAGGCAGGGTTGATGCTAAGAAGGAGGTGGTGGTGTGGAATGGACTGGCATGCCTCGGATGGGGAGGTGTAAGGCCCCAACCTGTTGGGCGAGGCCTGAATCTTCCTTACTTGCCCCTCAGTCTTTCTTTAAACCCAGGAATGTGCTGCCCTGGGTAGAGCTTGAGGACTGCGCATTTGAGTCAGGAATCAAGGGCCAGGGAAGCAAAAGCCTTGGGCCCCGAGAGAGAACTTGGCAGAGAGCAAGAGAGGAGTTTTTATGTATATGGTTTACAAAATGCAAGATGTGCCATTTGGTAAAATTCCATAGAAAACACTTGTATGCTTGTTGTGACAGTGAAAGGAAAAATAAAAGAGAAGCTGACATTTGGGAGAGAAAATCTGTAACATTAAAATACCAAAAGTTTGGATCGAACAGAACAGAGAGCTTTGGCGTGCCACTTCACATTCTGGAACACTCATTAGTGTGGGGGGGCCGTGCTCGGGACTGTGGCCTCACTCTCTTCCGAGCGAATACATGTGGGTGAGCCGTGGAGTTGTGATGGGACTTTAGGAATCATTGACTCATTCATTCAACAAATATTCACCAAGTTCCTACCACGTGCTGTTTTTCTACCAACTCACAGATGAAGATACAGGTGGTGGAGTAGCTTGGCTGAAGCTGAAGCTGGGCTCCAGCCGTCCCTCCGCAGCTCTCCCGCCTCTGGGCAGCTGGCAGGCCGGGCCGTCGGCCGCTGGAATCCACAGAAACAAACACTCAGGCTCTGTATGAATGGACGCTGCCTATTGCACTAGTTTTTAAATTATTTTAAAAACTTGAAAGTTGCCCACGATAACAATGTACATGTTGAGCTAAAAGAATGGAAATAAAGTAAACTTCCATGAACTCATACCAACTGGACAATGCGAAGGAGCCCTCCAGGGGACAGCGCCGTCCTGAGTGTGCTCGCCGGCCCTGCTTTTCTTTAAAATATATTTTATTGATTTTTACAGAGAGGAAGGGAGAGGGATAGAGAGTTAGAAACATCGATGAGAGAGAAACATCAATCAGCTGCCTCCTGCACCTCCTTCTGGGGATGTGCCCGCAACCAAGGTACATGCCCTTAACCGGAATCGAACCTGGGACCATTCAGTCCCCAGGCTGACGCTCTATCCACTGAGCCACACCAGTCAGGGCATCTTTATAGGCGGTCATTTACCGAAATACCAAAGTATACATTGCTGAGAGCGGCCTGGTGTGAGCGGGGATGGGGAGGGTTTCCATTGGCTGTCCGGAGGATGGGGAGGGTTTCGATTGGCTGTCAGGAGGAAGTGTAGTGAGGGGCAGGGCAGGGCCAGACTGCTCCTGGCCAGAAACCCCCATAAAAGACCCCTGGCCTCCCTATCCTCTCCAGTCCATGGAGAGGCTCCTCTGTATGCTTTTGTGGTTGCTTTTTTCCACTCATTATTAGGATTTTGAGACCCACTCGTGTGATGAGGTGGGTATATCCAGTCCTTTTTACTGCTGCATACTTTCATGCGACATTATGTATTTTATTGTTATGGGCATTTGGGCTGTTTCCAGATATTTGCTATTGCAAGTAATGGTAATGAGGACATTCGCGTACCTGTCTCCGGGCCGGTGAGGGCTCTGTGAGGCTCTCCTGAGGGCAGACTTGCTGGGCCTTGGTCTGTGCCTGCTGCACCTGGTTAAGTCATTCCAGACTGTGCTCCACTCCGCTGTTGGCACTGCCGCCTGCAGCGGGCCAGAGTGCTCGGAGCTCCCAACCTCACCCACCACTGGCAGCACTTTAATTCTGAGATTTTCATGTGAAGATGGTATATTATTATGATTTTAAAATACATTTTTCTGATAACAGATGGATTGAGGATCCTTTTATGTCTTTATGGGCTATTTTTTGTTTTCTCTTCTATGAAATGCCTCTTCATTGTTTTTAATATTTTACCGATGTTTAAAATTGAGCCTTTTCTTTTGTAAGTTAGGTGTGGCAAATATCTTCTTTCAGTTACCTGTCTCTTTTATTTTTAAGAATGACTTTTTATTTATATTCAGAGAGAGGTGAGAGCGAAACATTGATTGGCTGCCTCTCCCACTCATCTTTCATGTGTGTAACTTCTTCATGTCTTATTAAGAAGCTCTTCCCCACCCAAATGCCATAAAGGTATTTCCTATGGCTGGGTGCCCACGGCGTGTCCGCAGTGTGTTCCATGGGGGCGCCCCTGGCTGTGATGCTGGGCCGCCTCTCCCTGCAGCTGTGGCCAGCGTTCCTCCCCAGCACCGCTCTGTGAGACGAGCCTTGGGGCCAATCTTTTCTAGGTGGTGACTGCACAGCTTGTGGCAGGTCCTTGGGGAGAACTTCCTGGAGGTGGTGACAGGTTAGCAGGGAACACGAGTAGGAGGTGCTCAG